CAAAAGAAAGGGGGGAAATGCAAAAGGGTGCTGCTTAATTGTTCAAAGCAACTGTTCTTTTTTCAGTTACATACAAGCTCAACTTCAATTATTTTCTTCTTTTATATTGCAGATGAGAGTGATTCCCTATATGCTCTGCTGACATTAGCCAATTTGTCTACATCAATGTTGCCAACATCAACAGTAGAATCTGGTAGGTGTCAATTGCTTCCCTACTTTAGTTTTTACTGATTGTCATATATGATATAGTGTTTCTTGTCACTTATTTTGCTCTAGTTACTCATTATATATTTCTTCTGTTCCTTTTTTTCAAGCATGCTGGAAGTATATGTCATTCTCATTCCTTTTGTTGTTTCTGTGTTTGCTTAGAGTCATCTGCTAAATTGAAAGAGGACAAAACTACATGTGAAACAGAGAAGTCCAGTGCATCTGAAGCTGCATCTGTAGGTCATCATAGTGATAAAACTAAGCACCTAAGACGAAAAGAAAAGGTGCTCAACTTAATCACTGAAGCTGAAGATGGTACCTCTAGAAAATCAAAAGTTGGGAGGTATTCAGTTACGGTTGACAATGTTGTTTCTGAACCAAAACAACAGCCCGAACCTATCAATAACTCAAAGAAAAGTAAAAGCAAATCCTTCAGTACTTCACAGGTAACCACTGAATATTTTGCTTCTCGTGTACTTCTAATCTTGATTTCATGACAATCTTTTTTTCAAGCTGCAGATTTCAAATCTAGAAGCTCCAATTGATTCTCCTTCATACAATCTTTTGATAATGAGGTAGGTGAATCTTTTAACCTTCTATTTGATAATTTAATATAAGACAGCAAATCACTACCATATTATTTTAATAATATATATTATCTCCAGGGCTGATGTTTTTATGTCTTGCAGGACATAACTGAAGAAGTGAACAAAAGTATCAATACAAGTAAATGCAGCGCTGAATCTTCTGTTCAATCAAGACAATGGAAACCATTCAGAGTGCCAGAGGATTCCCCCACTGATAATGATCCAAAAATTGCTGAAACTGATCAAGTGGTGTCAACTTTACAAATTCCCACAGAACCTAAACATGTTAGCTTGCCAAATAAACATCAAAGTAGACGTAAAATGAACCTGAAGCGAGCGTTAGTTTCAAGAGATATAAATTCTCCCAAGTACACCTTAGAAAATCAACCAAACAGGCACTCTCTGTCGCAAGACAGCCTGAAGGTAGAGTCTAATATTCCTCCATTTCCCTTCAGAAAGAGTTACTCATTTTTAACATAATTTTTGAATGTTTTTGAATTCCAGGAAAACCTATCTTCCTGCTTATCATCTAGTCTGGCTAGAAGATGGTGCTCTTTTGAATGGTTTTACAGTGCTATTGATTACACTTGGTTTGCTAAAAAGGAGTTTGTGGAGTACTTAAATCATGTTGGATTGGGTCACATTCCACAGCTTACTCGTGTTGAGTGGGGTGTCATAAGAAGGTTAGCTTGTCAGTATCCCTATAGTTAAGAAATTTGTTAAAAAAATAGATTTTACAATGCAATTGCTTGTCACTGCAGCTCCCTTGGCAAACCTCGGAGGTTTTCTCAACGGTTTTTATATGAAGAGAGGGAAAAACTGAAACAATATCAAGAGTCTGTGAGACAGCATTATACTCAACTTCGCAGGGGCACTATGGAAGGAATTCCAACAGATTTGGCATGTCCTTTATCAGTTGGACAACAGGTGATTGCCATTCATCCCAAAACAAGGGAAGTTAATGATGGAAAAATACTTTGTGTGGAGCATGACAGTTGCAGGGTCCGGTTTGATAATCCCGAACTCGGAGTTGAGCTTGTCATGGTAATTGCATTTTTCAATATAGGCATTTCAGTTCATTCAACGTCTGTTCATTCTGGAAGTCACGTTGACTATTATTGCAGGATATTGATTGTATGCCATTAAACCCATTGGAAAATTTTCCGGAAACTCTTAGGAAGCAAAATCTTTCTTTTGATAAATTCCCTGTGACATCCAATGAATATCAAGTGAATGGACATTCAGATTTTGGTAGGTCTGGGGTATACACTCCAAGTGTGCATCCAGACAATGCTACCTACGCTGCGAACATGCTGGCCAATCCAATAAAGGTTAGGATACCTAGAATTGCCAACATTAAGTTCTTCTGTTTATTCAAGACTTCGTTATATATTTTTTTATATGTTTTCTCTTTATCTCGTGTCCTTATTTCAAACTTCGACTTAAGTTAGCTTAGGACATTTTGGCCTGTTAAACTTCTTTCCTAGGGTTCAAATGTATCCCTTTTTCTATTTTTTATGTAACTTGAGAAATATGTTGGCATATTTGGAGTTTACATGTCAGAGCTGTTTGCTTGTTTTGCTTCCTCTCTGCCTTTCTCCCAAATTATCTCTTTTGATCAAATATTTTGAGTGTTATAATTGGTTCTAGATTAGTATGTCTGTACCCTTATGTTAAATACTTGGTAGTAACCGATACAATATTCCAGGTGGATGCAAGCCGTAACATTTTGAATGCTAAGACAGCTGATCCTGATGTTGTTAGTGCACATCAAACAGCCAATTATCAACCCCTTACCATGGCACATATCCAAGGGAGGGAAGCTGATATACAGGTCATGTCTGAATTGAACCGTGCTCTGGACAAAAAGGTTATTCCACTATTTGATAGACTTAATTGTTTATATCATTTTTGACATTACTGCTTTGACCTCTTTGGTGATTTGAGATGCTATATTCAATCAAATTTACTGTAAATCCTTAAGTACGTACCTTTTTAAAAAAATTATGTTCATGTTGTTTGTGTTAAGTTATTGGTTTCAACGCTTAGTAGAATCGTGTTAGTTAGTATATAATATATACTTCAGGAAGCTGTATTGATGGAGCTCAGAAAAACAAACGATGTATTGGAAAACAGAAATGGAGGAAGTTGTTTAAAAGGTTCTGAGCCTTTTAAGAAGCATATTGCAACGGTACTTGTACAGCTAAACAAAGCCAATGGCCAGGCATGTGGCTTCCATGAATCAATGTAGAAGTGATTTATTCTGTTCTTCGATTTCTAAACATCTTCTTTGATAACTTCGAATTGATCATTTTCCATGCAGGTTTCTTCTGCTTTACATAACTTGAGACAACATAATTCTTACCCTGCAAACCCCATATCACCACAGCAGAAACCCCCACCTAATTCCAATTTCATTGGCGGCTTGGCAAGTTCTATTGACAGTTCTCTTGTTTCACAAGAATCAGATTCTTTCGCGGGTGAAATTGTCGAAGGCTCAAGACTAAAAGCGGGTTCCATGGTAGATGCTGCTATTAAGGTACAAGTATCTTTCTTCCTTAGTTATATATTTACCTAAAAGCGGTTTAATGACCCTTATTATGCACTATCATTCAGGCCATGTCATCTACGAAGGATGACGAAGATGCATTTATGAGGATTGTAGAAGCTTTGGACTCCATAGATAAACCGCCATTTACACCTGACATTAGGATGCCGTTGATCAAGTCCACAGAGCCAGAGAATGGCAGTATCAGTTATCAAAAACACTTGGTTTCCGTATTACCTCAAAAAAACGAGCAAGTTCCTTCCGAGCTTATCACATCGTGTGTTGCTACTTTGCTCATGATACAGGTAACCCGGAAATTTGTTTCCAGTATGATATCTACTCTTCACCAGCTTGATGAGCTAGAAAGTTCTTACCTGCATTTCTTTTTTCTTCTTATTGCATACAGACATGTACAGAGCGACAATATCCTCCTGCCGATGTGGCACAAATTATCGATGCGGCTGTTACAAGCTTGCATCCATGGTCTACGGAGAACCTGCAGGTTTACCGAGAAATACAAAGGTGCATGGGCAGAATTAAGTCTCAAATATTAGCTTTGATACCAACTTGAACAATGAATCCAATACGATGCTTTTGTTTTCTTGTAAATATGTTGGAATCCATTGATTTTTCTCTTTTTTCTGATTAAGTTTTGACTTTTATTGCATTCTTCTGCTGTGACTCCCCTTGAGAAATTGGAATACATAGTCCAAAATGATGAGTTAGGGGACATTGTTGGAATCCAGCATGATAATTGAGCTTTTAAAATCACATACAATGGACTACTATTGGTCTACAAAATGCAGTGTGAAGATATACCACCGCATTTGCTAAATCTACATCCATTGCAGTACCGATACCCTCATAAAAGGAGAAAATTAACCAACCTCGACATCAAGTTTACAATGCATCATTGTTTAAATACAACTTTTTAGTAACAATTAAGATTTCAATCTCTATTTTATATTTTTTGTCTTCATCATTTTCTATTTTATCTATTAAGTTATGCAAGTGTATTATATAAATTACTGTACGAATCAAGCGGTTTTAACGATTAAAGAATTGTTGTTATCTCTTACGGTATTAAGTTTTGAGTATCGTGTATGCAAAGATACCGAGTGTTTATTGTTAAATGGTTGAGAGTTTTTAAAAAATATTATCTTGTATTCACCAAAATTAAAACAAATAAATTAAACATATATAATTATTAATATAATTTTAAAATTTAAACATACATTAATTATAATATAATTTTTACAATGAAACATGACATAAAAATCAATATGTAATTATACTATCTTAATCAAATATGTTTAAATAATTTATTTTTTATAATTATGTAAATGTATAATTGCTATGCTAGTAGTTGCATTTTTATATAATCACACTTTAGAGTCTAAATGCATCCTAATTATATTTATATATATATATATATATATATATATAAACTGCATTAACCAACTTATTTTGACGATTAAAGGAATCGTTATTACTTGAATAAATTTATAAAATATTTAATACTTCCAAATTTTATTTATCTTTTAAATATGTAGTAAAAGCTTTGTAAAGACAAAGAAGACTTTTCTCTACCTCCTCGACCCAGCTCGCTATCTTTATTAATCACCACCAACACACTGTACATACAAATACATTTGGATTTCTTCTCTTTCACCACTCAATGTGAAACAAAACAAAGCCTTAATATCTCTTCAACCCAGGTATTGTCTTAAACTTTTCAATCTTTTTTATATATTTTAACTTTTTTTTATTAGAGATGTTAGTTTCAAAACTCAGACCAACCGCTTGTTACTTTCGTTTAGTTTTCCTGTTTTGTTTGTGTTATTTTCCGATGTATATACGTATTGTGATTCAAAATAGCTATGGATCAGTGCAAAACATAACTACCCAGTTGCCCATGTTTCTTTTTTCACGTTTGCTTTTAACGTTTCAAAGCCTTTTGTTCTTTCCCCGGGGAAGGTTAAGTATATTGTTTAAATTTCGTTTCTTTTTTGCTTTGGGTTGTTATTTGTTCATTTAGGGTCATATCAGAATCTTGCTTATGGTTGTTGGGTTACTTGTATTTACTTTGGATGTTATCGTTTTTCTTTTACTTTGATTTTTTGTTTCTTTTTTCCCCTATGTCAAATGCTTTCTTTCATATGACTTGTTAATGTTACTTAAATTAGCTTTAAATGGTGAATTGTGAGTGGAAAAAGGGATCTGGGGTTGGCGATCCTGTTGTAAGCTGCAGTGCATTGATGTTTATCAACATTTTTTATGTGTTTCTCTAATGTGGGGTGTCTGTTTATGTTTCCCATATCTGCATTAATGGGGTTTCAATTTGCTGTTTCTCTTTGGTCTGGTTAAAGATTGAAGCTTTAACTTGCTTGAATCCCTAACGATCTCGGTTTTCTTCGGAGGGAGGGTGAATGATTCATCAACTATGCACCCCTTTGTTTGAACTAGATATTGTGTCCCTTAGCACTGTTAAATTGTCATCCAATAATGTTTCGATCAATTTCACTTTCTTTGAGATTCATTCTTTCATTTGAAAGCTGAGACTGATCTTAGTTGCCATTTTCAATCTCTTGGTCTAAATTTCTTAATCGTATTCTTTATGCAGATGGAAACAGTGATATTGGATCCTAACAGCAACCTCGTTGAAGAAACGACTCCCGAGCCGTTGCTTCCCCCAAATTGTCCTGATATAAGTGATATATTTGGTGATCCACAATTAAGTCTGAGAGTTGGCAACAAATACCAGGTGGAAATTCCTCCCATGGTAACAGGAACTGAGCATCTTTCGCTTTTGATGGACCCTGTTGACCTGGATGGAATTCCTTGTCTCGCTCATTCCTTTCTCTTAGGCTTACCCCTGCCTTTCATGTGGACACGTGATGAAGATATTGATTACAGGGATGAATCCAAAGGAGGTTCATGTAAGGCTAATGATGGAACTAAGGTGGATGAGTGTGTCAAATCTCGTAAGTGCAAAAACGGACAGAGTTTCAAGAGGAAGAAAAATTCCAAACTAATTCTGAAGAGTCCGATGCAAGGATGGTCAATGAAAAAGAATCAAATTCGGAAAATCTTGAGTATGGAATGACAAGTAAAACCAATCTATTTCGACCTTTTGAAGTTAAAAACTCTCATCTAGTTCCTGGTGTAGCAGGTGATTCCTGGAGCAATGCAGAAGTGGATGGTTTTCTTCTTGGTGTGTATATATTCGGGAAGAATTTTGGGCAGATAAAATGATTAATTGAGAACAAGGACATCGGTGATATATTGTCATTTTAGTCTGATGGATATCGTAGATGGTGAGATGGACAAAAGAGAAGTCGTTGAAAAAATATATACGGACGGAAAATATTTACTGGCTGGAGGCAACAAGAATTGTTATCTCGTTTGCTTGCTCCTGTCCCGGATGAATTACAAAATAATTTGCTGGATTTATCACTCAGATTTCATTTAGAAAGAAGCTCAATGTGTTTTTCTGTTTACTATTGTGGTGTCTAATGTGTTTTGCTGTTTATTGATGTCAGACTTCGATTTTTCGATGCTAGCTTCCCAATATGTTTTACTAGGAATATAAGATTCTCAAACTAGTCGTCTATTGGCAGGTATCTAAGTCATTTTTAGAGGGGAAAACTTCACTCGAAAATTATGTTTACTATCTGAAGACTAGAGTTGGCTTATCTAAACTTGTAGAAGCAGTAGGTATTGGCAAGAGGAAAGCAGATCTTACAGGCCTGGCTATGGAGCCTCCGACGCTGACTCAAGTTACCCCCGAAATACCACCTGGGAAGGCTTGCTCATCTCTTACATCTAGTGACATCATCAGATTTTTAACTGGAGGCTTTCGGTTGAGCAAAGCTCGTTGCAACGATATTTTATGGGAAGCTGTTTGGTCTCATTTGCTTGCACGAGGGGGCCTTCTGAGCAGCCTAAGAATCGATGTTCTGTCAGTTCCAAACATTAACTAGTTTTTCTTTTGCCGCGAGTGACGAAGTTCTCAAGAAGGAAACTTGTTAAAGGAAATCATTACTTCGATTCTGTTAGCGGTGTTTTGAGCAAAGTTGCATCTAAGCCAACACTTATTGAGCTTGATTCTGAACGAAATTGTACGAGGAGCTGCACTGAAGAAAATGGGTGCATTCCCGGGGAGTCATTGAATCAAGATGATCCTGCCTATGATAAGCCTCACTATCTCAAGCCCCGAGTCTCTATTTACAGTTCTAACCATATGAAGTTCACGGTTGTTGATTCCAGTTTGATCCATGGAGGAAAAGCATCCAAAATGAGAGAACTGAGATATTCACCGCAGGTAAATGCTAATCATATGTTGTCAAAAGGTGATAAATGTGTTAAAATGCTCGCCATCGTGAGGGTATAGTGGCTAGCCCTACTGCACAGCACATAAAATTTACCATTGTGGATACAGGTTTGCTCCATGGTGGAAAACCATCCCGTTAGAACTGATAGTTCAGAAACTAATATGGTTGAAATTTCTTCAGAAACTAATAGTTTTTCAGGAGGAAATGATGATAATTTAAGTGATGGTTCTTCTGATGAGCATGAGCCAAAAACTGCAGATGGACTATCTAGTCATGGTTCAGTTGCCACTGAAACAAAACCTATTAGTGAGCCAATTGCTGCTGATAGTTTGATGAAAGGTGAAGCTAAATATGAAAATGACATTTCAAATCAAGATCCGAAGAACTCGTGTAACGCAGATCAGAATTTGTGGATTCACCAAGACAAGAAGACGGATACATCAGAAGATGCCAGGTCAACGAGGATAATAAAGCACCATTTCAGTCGAAGATCTAAATTAAGTCATTCTGTTAGCTTGGGTACCCCGGAAAAACGAAAGAAATTATTTGCTTGTATTAACAAAGAGGAAAGTTGCCTGACCGAGAATTTAGCTGCTGTGTCTATTAACATACCTTCTCCGAAGAAACGACAAAAATTAACTGCTTCTGCTAAGTTGGAGGGAAGTGATATTGCTGAGAATAACTCTAGCAATCCAATTAAATTAATTTCGATGAAGAGACAGATTAAATGCTTGTACTAAAACAGAGGAAAGTCGTGCAATCCAATTTTCAAGTCCTTCCCGAAGGGCACGCAGTAGAGTCAAAGCATCAAAGCATGCAAACGTTGCTGTTAAAACTGCAGATGCCAAGGAAGGAAAAGATCCAGGTGGTGCATTTATTTCTCCTAAAGATATTACGAACCAACCTCCTCAAGTGGCTCACTGATATTTTACAGGATCGGTCAACATGATCATGATGTTCTTATCAGCAACAAACTGATATATTCATTTACTGATATTTTGCCAGTCCATCTCGGTCGGACGCCTCGAACATCTACGATAAAGGAGGGTTTGAGCAGTGATGCATACGCCTATACGATCGAGATGCACTGGTAAACCGACGAGAGTTGGGGCGGGTAACCCTATACGAGGCATGGACCAATATTGTTAGTAGGGAAGAGTTCCTGGTACTTTGTTCATTTTTATGGAGTATCTTCTATTGAAGGGTCCTTTAACAGTTTGTGAATGTAGCTTTTTCATGGTATTTTTGTCCCCCATGCTCTCGGCCTTCAGCTTCACCTTACAGAGAAAGGGTTTGGAACCAGAGCCGTCTCATACATTTTCAGAGTCCGAGTAAAAATTTAAAATATGTCTTTATAAAATGAGAGTATATTTCATTATTTTGAACAATTAATTTAATATTACATAAATAAGTCATAGAAAATGATTAAATTTGTGAAAATATATTATTTTTATTATTTTATTAAGAAAACACTTTAAATAAAACTAAAAGAGAATAAATATAAAAAAATTGAATGCATGTATGACACATGACTTAATTTTGAATAATAAATAAACAAAAAATTGTATATTATTTTATTGTTAGATTGAGAACGAAGAAGATTAAAAATTAAAGTATATTTGATAAATTGAAGAATAAGGTTTAAAAAAAAGAAAAAAAATTGATTAGATTTAATTCAAAATTGAATAAATAAATTAGAGAAATGGAGAAAGAGGGTCAAAAGCTAAACATCTTGTGAAAATATAAATTAAGGGCCTTAATTATAAATATAAAAAATTGATTAAATTTAATTCAAAAATAAATGAATTAATAAGAGAAATGGAAAAAGAGAATAAAACTAAAACTTTTATGAAATTATAAAAATTAGAGGCTCTAAATATAAATATAAAAATCTGGAGTCCTAATTATACGTATAAAAAATTGGGGCATGAGCGATTATTCAGGATGCTCCCTTAGAGTCGGCCTGCTTTGAACTCATTTCAAGTGGTTCGCTCTCTTATAACAATTGATATATATATATATATATATATATATATATATATATATATATATATATATATGGGCAGGAATGAGTTACAAAATGTAAAACTCTTTTAGTTTTACATAGATTTAAATCGTTGGATGAGTGAAAAATAGATGGTTGAGATTAAAAGTAAAAAATGTGAAGATTAAAACAATGAGTTTGTCTCACCCTTTGATTTCACTCATCCAACGATCTTAAATCTGTGTAAAACTAAATAATTTTACATTATGTAAGTGTATCTTAACCATATATATATATATATATCACTTCACGATAAATGATTTTTTATAATATATCTTTAAAAATATACATTAATATATTTTATTAAAGTAATTAAAATACGTAGCAAAAAACTATAATTAACCCCAATAAATTGGGGAAAGAAAGCCAAATAGAGACTATTTTGAACATTGTTATCCAATAGACGCGCTAAAAATAATACGGCTATTCACACCGGTAACTCTTGCCCGCTAAAAATATCTCCGATGTCGGTGATTACTGTTCCTTTTCCTTTTCTGATTTCACTTTCTGCATCTGTGAAACTATATACTCAGACCCTGTTTCAAATTTCAACCCAAATCCCAACGCCGTTTCGGCTCCATTAGATTCTCGACCCTTTTGGGTTTGTTTTTCTAATGGAGCTGAGGGTGAATGTAATGTAGGCCAAAAACCTCAAACACGTCAACCTCATCACGAAAATGAGGGTCTACGCCGTCGTTTAAATCAACGGCAATCCTCAGACGAACCAGAAAACTCCCGTTGACAAAGAAAATGGGTCCAACCCAGAGTGGAATTGCCGCATGAAGTTCATCGTCGACAAAGCTCACGTCCACCAGAACATCTTCCTCGATCGTGTTTTCCCTCAAATCGAGCCGCGTGATCGGTGACAAGGACATCGGCGCCATCCAGGTCTCCTTCAGGGAACTGGTCCGCCAAACCTACTGCAACCACATGGTCGACCAGAACGTCAGCTACAGCGTGGTGTCTCCCGAGGGAAAATCGAGAGGCATCCCGAATTTCTCGTAGGTTCGTGGGGAATCTCATCGGCATTGTTCGGTACCCTCAGCTTCCGGGGGGCTGTACAAGAAATACAAGGGGCAAGCCCTTTTTTTGGCGCTTGCGTCTCCACAGCACGGTGGTTCGTATCCTTGTCCGCCGCCGCATTGGATGAGCATGTATCCTTATCCGCCATCATAGGGGATGAGCATGTATCATTATCCGACGCCGCATGAGATGAGCATGTATCCTTATCAGCCGGCATACGGTTACCGTCAGGTCCCTGCACCCGTTTCAGGCTATGGATATCAACAGCCGCCACAGGGCGACAATGGTAAACCTCCAAATTATCGATCTGTAAATGAGGATATTTAGGTTTGAGCTGGAAATAAATCAATGGTTTTTTTTAAATGTTTGAAGCATTTCATTAAGCACGTTGGGGAATTGAACCCAGAACCTAGTGTAGTTTAAACAACGCTTCAACCACTAGAACACACACCATATTAGTTTTTTATTTTCAAAATATTTTATATATTATGTTTCAAATTATGGTCGAAAAATGAAAATAAAAATCTATTAATTGGATTCGAATATAAAATTTTATCTTGGAGTGGTTCACCTTAACTACCAAAGTAAATGAAAAATATAAAAAACACTTACACTATACTTATATATTGTTAATATCTATTAAAAGTACAAGTTTAATTTTTTTATTTTTTAAATTAGATTTTTTCATTTTATTTGTTTCATAATTATTTTTTCAATTATATTATGAATTATATATTTTTAAAAATATAATTATATTAAAATTTTACTTAACGAATCTAAAATTACAAACACAACTTAAATATATAAATTAATTTTATTTTTCATAATTATTTTTAAATTATTATATATGTATTATAGTTTAAAAAATAAAATTATATTTAAAAAATCCATAGTTACAAACACAATTTTAATATGTAAACTTATATTTTAATAATGTAAGTAACACTTTGATATTTTTACAAAAAATTGTTAAATAATTTTTTTTACAAATTTTAAGATTATATTTAATTTAGTCTTTCGAATATATAAATTATTCTTTAAAGTTAGAAGGTAATTTTACTCCTCACTCTATTGAAAAAAATTGAGTCTTATACTGAAAATATTTTTGAAATAACTTTTACTAAGGGTTTTTAACTTCAATTGAGTCAAAAAATGATTTTTAAGTATAATGGTACCGATATTACTAGATCAGTACTGATATTGTTCAAGCGGTATCGATACAAATATCGATGCTGAAGCCCAAAATTATGAAGTAGAACCGATACTGCTGTGGCAGTACCGATACTGTATGCAAGTTTGACAAAAACAAAATTCTAAAATATTATCGATACTATATACAATATTGATATTACTTAGTATAGTAGTACCAATACTCCTAGTGGTGGTATCGATACTACCTTTTTGGTTTTGAATTTGTCAAAATTTCAATATACTCAAATGGTACTGATACTATATACAGTATCGATACTACTGAATATAGTATTACTGATACCCTTGTAACATTACCGATACTAGATTTTCCCAACGGTCATGTTTTTGTATTTA